TTACATGCAGATCCCTGCCTTCTTCCTAGACCTCAGACTGGGCCTTACCCTTGGCATCCTATTCCAACCATGTAGCACCCTGTTACGGTCTCGAGCAGAACTATACGAGCTGGAAGAAACTGCTCTTTATTTACAGGCTGCTGCAGAAGTGCTTTTGGATCCCGCTGTCCAAGCACTATACGAATACACAATGAAAACATAGTTTCAGCACAAAAAGTCCACAGCTGAAAAGTAGCATATAGAAAAGGGCTTTGGCTGCAAACAGGGTTTGAGCGCGAGCAAAGACTGTGCTTCACAGTTGCTTTAAGCCACATAATTATTTGTTTTGAGCCAGGTCGGTTCCTTGATCCAGTTTTCAGTTCTGCRCAATTTCTGCTGCTACTCCAACGGAGTTGGCAGGAATACACAGAGTATGGTGAGAATGAGACTGCTTCTTTGGGCAAAAGGTTTGCATTTGATCAGCTTAAAGAGATCATAAAACTGTGGCGTTGATTACGAGTTTGCTGTTGTAGGATGCCATTGTGGGAAATTCTTATTCAGGTATGAAGGCCCTTTTCCAGAGAAGCTTCTGGTGTTTTAGAAGGATTTCATGTTAAACAGAAGCAACCTGTCCCATTGCCCTCTTTTCCCGGTGTGTTAGTGGAGCACATGTAACCATACTTATGTCTTATGGTAAAATTTTCACATGCAGGTGAGGCCTTTTAAKCACCAATGAATATTATTAAATATATTAGCCAATTTAAAAATAAAATTTCACATGAAATGTCTTTGGAAACTCTAAAGATGATTGAAAATTGGATGGGTTGAATTGATTGGAATGACTTTCCTTTATTGGAATACAACATTCAGTCAAATCACCCTATCTTTATATCCAGTTTTAGTCAAAGCTTTGAGTGTGAGACAAAAGAAGGAAGTAGTTTGGATGCTGGAGTTTTTTGGCAGCTAGAAAGTGTTATCCTTTGGATAGCTACCTATACGTAAGGATTCATTTTGGTCATTGCTCATTGACTCCGCTGACAGGTTTCCATCAAGTGAGAGAAAGAAAAAAAGATGTGTTGTGTAATTTAACTCAAATATAGTAGCTTAAGCCATTGTCACCTCTTTCTGATTTGTTAGAATACTCTGTTGTTTTATTCTTGTTTTGGGGGGCCAGAATTGAGCAGGAGGTTGGTCTTTTTTTCCTARATTAGAGTGATTTGGCTTCAACATTTCAGTATGCCCATGCCTAGCGCTATATAAGCTGGAAGGAAATTGTGGGGTATATTTTTCCACCTGGTTAAAAGTACTTAATGGTATTATTGAGATACACATTGCCACCCTTATGCTGCTATGTTTTATTGTGCTGTTTAGGGGCTGTAGCTGTTGTTTGAAACGTGTACGCCACAAAGGGAAACATCCCTCTTAGCTCAGAGGGCTGGTGACTGCGGAGCCCCTTACGCCCTTTGCAGGGAYTTCCTTTGGAAGTCATGAGCCCTGTGTGGAGAGAGAGGTTTTTGAGAATCGGGAGGACTTTTTTATAAAGGAACAATTCCTTCCTTTGTCATTTTAGAAGCATAGTTTGTATTTTTCATGGGAGGTTGTGTGGATTTTTTTTTTCATTTTGTTTTATTTTTTAAAGGTCTGAAGGCTGCTGTTGTTCCCTCGATTCCCTTCAAGTACAAAAAGTTGGCGCAATTAAGAGAGGCTCCCGTTAGCTGCCTATGTCAGACTCACAGATATAATGTAAATCTGTTGATCTCTTGTTTTCTTTACAGTCCAGGCTAGGTGCATGGTATAAAAAGTGCCATGGCCAGCTCAGGATTGGTTCCTGCCAAAGGTGGTCCATGTGATGTGAGCTTTTCCCATTTTCCTTGCATCCTGAAGGCCCTTGCATTTGGGTAACTGTGGTGTTATGGGATGGGGATGGGGTAGGTTAGAGCTTGAAAATAACTTAGAATTTAAAGTTTCTGACCTAAAAGGAAAACCAGAAAGTCAGTTTACTGGGTCCTGTTGTCACCTGGAATGAAAGTGGTGGCAATGTAAATAGTCGTGTTGTCGGATGCTTTTAAGCTGTTCGGCCTCTCACTTTGTGGCAGTTTCTTTATAGCCGATGAGCTGTTTCCATTGGCAAGTTACAGTTTTCTCTGCCTCATTCTGGGGGGCTGCGTCCTGAAGCAGCTGTATTTTGCCCGTACCGTTTCACGAAGCGCCAGCGTTATCTGCAGGTAGCTCAGTCGGCTTCCTGGTGTTGACCGTAACGTGACGCTTTGCAGGTTGGTGCCGCTGCGCTCTCCTGGGCCTTGAAGCTTTCTCTCCTTCCCTCCTTTCTGAACAGTAAGCTCCACTCTCTCCTAGTTACRCGATCAGCATGTTTTGCATGAGGACCCATCCACACTGAATGTGAACCAGCCCCGGGGCTGAATGTAGCCGGCCACCTTCTCTGAGACTCATTTTCTGTGGCATCGAAAGATGTTTGGTTCGTTTTGTGGATGCCGTTGTGTGATACCCCCCCGAACGCCATCTGTRTGTTTGCAAATGCAGTCTCTCCAAATCCATCCGTGCTGTGGCTCCTCGTTTCCTTTCACTGTCTCCGGAAGGTGACAGGACTACCAAAGCATCCTTCCTTTCTGAGTCGGGGCCATGACTGTTTGACAGGCTTGGCTGGGCTTCCTGAAACGCAGGTTGGCTTTGGATGCGTTAGCCTGCCGGTGTCCCCGGTCCCGTGCGCTCCCCGTGCGCGTGCTGAGCCCCGCGGAGCGGCCGCGGCAGCGCGGGGAGCTCCTGGCCTCGTGCTCCTCGTGCCGAGGCCTCGCGTGAAGGCCGCCCCGTCCGCCAAGGCCTCGCACCGAAGGGCCACGCCGTTGTGCCATGGCTGACCTGTGAGGGGACGTGGAGGGAGGCCTGAGGAGGACTTTGGCATGAGTTAKCCGGAAGGGAAGTGTGCTGTACGTGGCCTGTCTAGACAGTGAAAACCTGGGGTTAAACACAGTGTTTCACGCTTGGGCCYGCGGCCTTCGCTTGGTAAATACCTCCATTAGAGCGAGTGGAGCTATAACCAGCAGGCCTCCCATAGCGGCCCCGCTAGAGCAGGCCTCCCCACTCCAGTGATCCCCTATAACCAAACCGCAAAGGCACCGGCCAGGCTCGCACCCCAGTCTTTCTAGTCTGACATCATTTTTATTTAAGCTAGTTTTAGTCTAATTTTAAAATGGAAACTGGTAGATAGTCTTTTGTAAAACAGAGTTGACYCGGAAATTACAACCAATTGCTTTTAGTTTAGAGTGGTGCCAGGACAACTGAGCTTAAGCTGAATTCAGCTACTGATAGGTGTTAACTTGAAAATTTATCTATTAAAAAGAAACTTTTAAATTTAACATTTATGTGAGAGAGATTGCATGTGACTAATCAGGAATTTGTGGAGAAAGCCATCTCCTTTGGAATTACAGTACTATTTTATTATTGGCATACAGAAAGCAATGTAAGATGTAAGAATGTATGATCATGAATTTTTAAAATTTTAATGAAAACAGTAATACAGCCTATATGTTGAGGGTGACAGAGCCCTGGAACAGGCTGCCCACAGAGTTGTAGAGTCTCCTTCTCTGGATTTTAAAACCCGCTTGGACGCAGCCCCGTGTGTGTGTCTAGGTGACCCTGCGTGTGCAGCAGGGTTGGACTCGATGACCTCTGAGGTCCCTTCCAACCTTAAGCATTCTATGATTCTATGATATATGTAGTTATGCATTTTTAAACCAAGCCTATTACTTGGTTTAGGTGCTTCTATCCCAAGCTTAGTTTTCATACTTAGTGATGCTAACCCCCTATGGAGATACTCTCAAAATTGGTGCAGTAAGGTTAATAACCTGTTCGTATGARAAATTCTAATTAACCTTCCTTTAAAACTAGTCTGGAAAGGCCCTTTTGCAGTCCCAYTGAGAGAAAGCTTGTACAAAGCAAGTCTTAAGGATTTTTATTTCAGACTATAGAGACCAAGGCTGCCAGTAGCACAAATGGTATTAGCTCTTTAAAAGCTTTTGCTTTTCTGTTGCAGCTTCTTTTCTAAGCTCACMGTGTCTCCTCAGCCTCCTTTACGCAGAGAGCAAACCCATGTTCTTTCAGGGCTCTAGAGGTACATTTTTACTGTCTTGTGTTTCTTTGCCAATTTTTCTTCAATGAGTGAGTCCAAATCAACTACATTTCTTGCAATGAAGCACCAGACTGAAGAAACAGGATGTACAATTGGAATGAAAATGAAAACGTTTCTGTGTAAGATGAGACCTTTCTGGCCATTACTTGTCATTTATGGTAACAGGACAAAAAAATGAAGTTCAAAATAAGCCTGACTAGAAAATACAGTGCTTGCTTTTTTTATCGCTCTTTTTCAGAGTCCTGGATTTCCCCATTTTTTAGCTTCAGTAACAGTGTTTTTCTTCACACTCATTTCATTTCTAAGCAATTATGYGTACCTAGAAATTCACACCTCCAAATTCATATTCAAAATGATTGGCATTCAGTTTACATTTGAAATTACATTAAAGCCTCTGTTTGGCACGTCCAAAAGAAACTTGTTTTCTGCGCTTTGCTGATTCTAAAGCAAAAATCAAATTCAGTTTTAGTATACAGTTCCTCTCCTCAAGAGGGTTCTGTTTTATACCGAAATAGAAGAAAAACGTTTGCACATTTGGCTATGCCACATACATTAGTGCTTCAGCTTTTCTCTGTGTGTAGATATGCCATGTACACAGCAGCGCCTCCGGTTAGCTGAAGGTTTTGTCCCATCTTATGATTCTGCTTACCCTAATTTAGCCTGACGTTGTGCTTTGACTCATCACATTAGATTAGGTCCACAGCGTATGCGTGTACACGAGCGAGTGTTTTCGTGCTGTGTAGTTGCTCTGCACTGGAGGAGTGGGTATTAAATGTTTGATGTAATCTCAGTATTCAAGCTTGCTAGATCATCTGTGGCCTCATATAGAAGGAAATAAAATAGCAGCAAAATAACACTGTTTTCTTCTCTGTAGGCAAACTGATAAAGGGATCCTGAGGGAAAACCCACAGGAGAAAAGGGATCAGCTGGACCAGAATTTAGGCAACAAGTGGAAGGTATCTGTCAGAGCATCGCATGCAAGAGAGCCTACGGTTTCGTCTCACGAAAGCCGGGGGAGGTCTGGGACGCTGCCCAGTGACTACAGATACTCTCAGGAGAACGTGAATGAGAAAAGCAAGGACTGCAGTTTGCCTCCTCCCGCGTGCCCCGAGCCGCAGAGCTTGAGTGAGAACCAGCCCTGCCTGCCACAGGGCAGAGGGGAGGACAGTCACAGGGCAGAGCCGACGCTGCCGAGCAAGAGACGGGGACCGGCTCCTCAGAGGCCTCCTCCACCAAGAAGGGATAAGTACAGGCGGCCGGACAGGGACAGGGACAGGGACGGCTCCGTGCCGTCGCTCGGCAGCTCTTCCGAGTCCTTGCTGGTAGCTCCCAGCCAGCCCCTTCCGTCCTCTTCCCCCAGCTCTGCCGAAGGGCCTTCCAGCCGCTCATTGCTCCCGCAGAGCCCTGCGGCTCCCRATGGAAAGCTAAAGCTGCGGGAGCTCCAGCAAGCGTCGTCCACGGAGAATGTTGGCCAGCACTTAGAAGAGAAAACGCACCTTAAGTCAGAGCCTCTGTTATCGTCCAAGTATCGTTACCTTCCAAAACCAGAGATGGAGACGTCGAGGTCCCCTTCGCCTCAGTTCGCGCCACAGAAGCTCACTGATAAACCGCCTGTGTCTCTACAGGATGAGAACCCTGCCAGGTATCCGGCACACTCCTTTGCTGTCTCAGTAAGCCTTTGTGCCCAGGTCCACCTTAGTAAGGTTCCTTGTTCTATTTCCTTACCAAAAGCATGGGCTCATTAACCATAAACCTTTTCAGCATGTCCTAAACAGACCTAGGGAACAGTGGTTCTACTGTAGTAAAGATTTTTTTCTTTATAAAGAAATTCTAGCTGATACCATGAGAAGCCCTCAGCTGGGCTGTGGTTTCTTTGAGGTGACTGATGCTGAGTAGCGAGGGTTGCTGCTCCAGTGTGGTAGCTGATATATTGTGGAAAACGAAAAGGATGGATTAAAAGTAAAATATCTATTGTAAATCTGGKCTAAGTTGGGAGATTCCCTCTCAGTCATCATTTTCCATACCCCAGTTACACGTGGCAGTGTGAACCAGAGTAGGGACAAAGCGGATCCTGGAAGAGAGGCTGTTTCCATTGCRAGAGCAGCTGCTTCAGAAGCTCCCACAGTAAGGAGTGCTGCCAGATTACGGTGTTTTCGTGGTCCTTTTATGTTGGAATTTGGCATCATGCTGGCCTCCATGGATGCCGAGGGCTCCGCAGGGCTGTTGATGTTAAAATGGGCTGAGCATCCAACAGGAGGATGTGAGCCCTTTCTCGGGCTGGATAAATGCAGAATTAGACAAATTGAATAAAGTCAATAGATTTCTGCCTCTATCATCTGCTCCCAGTGTCGTAGGTTATTCTCCCACAAGACRATAAACTATTCCAGGGAGTTCAGAAACATGAGTTTTCATAAGTCCTGCAGTGCTGCAATTCATGGTTAAAGAATGAAAATGAATGGAGGTTTCTTTTCTGAGCAAAAGCAGTAGATGAAATCACTTTTCTCTGCTGTAACATGAATAGTTGAATAGACTCWGTCATGCTGCCTTCCCTTCTGCCATTTGACATAGGAAGCATAATTCAGCATTTCTTCCTGGACACTTTTTAAGTGGCAAAAAAAAAAATCTTAACTAGTTTTTAACAAGTCCTTTGAAGCCAACACCAATTAATGTTTCCTTTTTACCTCCATAAAGAACTACAGGCCCCAAGTTCAAGTTGAAAGTTCTGGGAGGGGCAGGGGAATGGACCTAAATTTGACTTAATTTAATTTGTGCATCGGAAATGTCCCTTGATGTCCTCTCTGCTGTGTTTTGAACAGAAAGCAAAACGAGGGCAATTTACTATCAAAAGTGCAATATGGCCTGTGCAAAGGTAGATGACAGTAATGACTTCCTTAATTTACTGCTTTACGAATAGATATTAAGGATGCATAGAAAGATAATTGTATGTGGCCTTCCTTTTTCCCAAGCTTTAATGTCAAAATGAGCACTGAGGTGCCCCTAATTACAGGCCCATATCTGAGTGGTATTTTGAAGGTAAAGTGAGGCACTTACCCTGCATAAGTGTCAGTGTTACCCTGACATTAACATGTTWAAATGTTGTGCACAAACAGTCCTTTTTAGTTTGTGCACAATTTATTGTTCTCCCCTGATAATCATCTAATAAATCAGGCAGTGCAAAAATAGAGACCCAGGCAGACCGTGTCTGCAAAGGGCAGGGGTGTTTATTGCAAACAAGTGAAATATGTCAAGCAGATTTATGGTAAGAGTCAATTCATTAGATTTGAATTATTATTTGTTACTGCCTTCTTACATGTGAGCTCTCAGACATGCCAGTTTGCCTGTTGGGGGCAGTTAATGGTTAATGTTGTCTAAATATCACTCTTTTCTTTGAGGATTGTATGCTGTTGATAAACTAAATGTGCAAGGTTTTCCTCCAACATTTCAGGTAGCATGGGGAAATATTGGGGATAGTAAAAAAACCCCAACTATTTCCAGAGGAGAAGGGTCTTTGGCAGTAATAAAGATGAAGCGTGCCTGTCATAGAGGTACTTCAAGAGAGTTTCAGCAAATACACACTCGAGTGAAGGATGACTGTGTTCGTGGTGGGAATAAAGCTTCATAGTAGCCACAAGCAGAGTTGCTGCAAATTAAAACTTTGTGCCATAGCTCCACAGTTGTAAAACCTTAGGAAATCACAAGGGTGTTGGCTGTTTAATCGGAATTTCCGAAGCAGCTAAGACTGTCTTTGCTCCGAGCAAAATCCCGACGGGACGATGCTTTTAAGTGCATCTGGAGCATCTTTTGCTGGGTAGAGATGGATGTACTCCGAGTCCCAGACACAGGAGTCATTATCCAGCAGTGGAGTCGTGGAGGGGGCGACTGGCAGGTGTAGCTGGGAGGTGTCCACAGGTGTCCAGAGCTGGGAGGTGTCCATGGGATCGCGGAGACAGGTCCTGAAAGCCAGGGCTTGTTCCTGATGGAAACGCCGCTTCTCCACAGGGCCAKTGGCCTGGCTCGGAGCTTCAAGCTCCGTGGCATGGTTTGGAATTCATCACAGGCTGGAAAACCTGCCCCAGCAGCTGGCTCGGGCTGCACGAGTAGCGAAGCTTTCAAAGCCACACGGTGATGGTTTTAAACTTCCTGCAAGCTCAAACCCACCAAACTGTGCTTCAGTTTCTTACGTGGTAACAAACAGTGCAGACCTTCCTAACACGTTGTTTGAAATCTAAGTTAGCCTCTTTAAATAGCTTTCTTTATTAAAGTCCAAGGTGGCTCATTGGATTTTGCAGGAAGAATTCCTGCTAGAAAACAAAAATGTGCAGAATTATGGACATCATCCTTTTGGATAGTGTTTTTATTATTATTATTTTTTCCTCCTCCATCTAGAAAACTAAGACACTAGTGGGTTCTGTTGACTAAACTCCGGTATCTTGAGTGAAATTCTACAAATACAGATTTTTTAAAATTATATGGTTACGTTCTGCAAGATTTCCACGTTCTCTGTATATGATCATCTGTTAATCTAGTAGTTCAGCACATCCCCGGCCTGCAGAGTGTTTCCATCTGATTTGTTGTCTCTTCCCTTGGAAGAGCTAGGAGAGATGCTAGGGCATCACGAGCTACCCAGGCAGCTAAGCAAGCAGTCTGGCCAGAAGATGAGACTGCTGTTGGGTGCGTGTGAGACGATGGTGTTGAGCCAGAGGCTCATTTCTTCTGTGGGGGATGAGCAGAGGAGTAGGAGGTACCATCAGCAACACTATCTCAAAATTGGATCCAGCTGTTGAGTTTAGACCTCTGTGTTCATCAAACAAAAGAGAAGTCCTGTCCTTTGAGGGCTGTGCCAGGTGGACGTTAGCATTACCTATATATATGTAGARCTAATGCTGTTTAAAATGTTGGGGGAGAAAAGGAAAAACGCAGATTAAGGGCTTGGGATATCATGCAAGGAACACCCCATTACATTGATCATTTATCTATTTATATATATTTTTTTTTAATGTTTGGGCTTCCTCTCTGATTTGTGGATAAGAACTCAGATGTAAAGTTCYTGCACTTCTAAAGATGGATTTTCCTCGCTTTTCAGAATTGAGAAAGTTATAGACAACAACACTACCGTGAAGATGGTCCCCATCAAGATCGTTCATTCCGAGAGCAGTGCGGAGAAGGAGAGTCGGCAAGGCCTCGTGAGCACCATGGAGCCTCCAGCTTTGCCCAGTGGCTTAGAAAAGGACCAGATTAAAACCCTCAGCACTTCGGAGCAATCCTACTCACGATTCTGTGCGTACACCAGGCAAGGTGCAGAGCCAGAGAGCAGAACCAAAGCAGCTGACCCGCAGCCGGCCGAAGAACCTGGGAGCGACGTGAAGGACAGCAGCGCTGCAGCCCCAGCTGCCAGCTACATAAAGGCCAAAGAGAAGACTTTGGAAGACTGGAAATCGGAGGAACTGGCCAGAGAGATTGTGGGAAGGGATAAATCTCTGGCRGATATATTAGATCCTAACATGAAAATAAAAACGACGATGGACCTGATGGTCGGCATCTTCCCCAAAGATGAACACCTCTTAGAAGAAGCTCAGCAGCGCAGGAAGCTCCTGCCCAAAGTTCCTTCCCCGAAAATTTCAGAAGAGAAGTGAGTATTGGTTTCTGTGGGCCGAGTTTCCTTGCAAGTTGCTGCCCAAAACATGTCAGTTATTCAAAGTGGACTAAAGATGATGTTCATGCTGTTTAGGTTTGGGGCTTTTCCAAGGATTTTCCTTTAGAATAATGATCACTAATAATAGCACTAATGATAGAACTAATAGAACTAATGATCAGGAGCAGAACAGTGTTGCATAATATAAAAAATTACCTGAGATCTGGCTGAAAACTATTTGTGAGACCTGAAGGAATGATTTATTTCTCCCACTTGTATTTTACCAAGCTCATCCAGGTTAGGGTAGAGATAAACAATATTTTAGCATTTATTCTGTTACAAAAATGTATAAAGACAGCTTGAAGAGAGCATAAGGCATTTCTTGTTACTGAATGAGAATTAAAGAAAAGGATTTAAAATCCAATGGAAGATGTTGATGTTTTATAGCTCTTTTGTTTTCTTGATGTGAGCGTTAATTAACTTGTAGCTTTCTCAGCAAGTTCATGTGTAATTCTGTCTCCACAAAGATAATTGCAGTGCAGTCTCTTACATTTGGCAGCCTGAAAGGGTTATTTCATTCGTTGCCTTCTCAGGGGGGATGCCACTGAGATCTTTGCACTGCTTACTAAAGTGGAACTTCACGTTTTGCTTCCAGTTATCTCACTGGTGTTTCACTTACTGTCATGGTGAAGGCTTTTCTCTCTCTTTCAGCTTTAGCTGTGAGTGGTCTTCTGCTGAAATCACACAAATGTTCTTCACAATCCCTGTTTGCTTATCCTATAGAAGTCTGCTGGAGTCTGCTTGTCCTTCTTTGACCCTTATCCATATTCCTTCTGATTGCCCTTGTAGATTATCAGCTTTTGTGGCCAAAGGTCCTGTTTCCCCTCCAGACGTTTGGCCCTGTGCTGTTCCCATAGGTAGCTGTTTTCTCTCGTACTCCCTGTTTACTAGGCAAAATGATGACTCTGACAGGTTGTTCTTTCTTTTGAATGATTAGAATGTAAAAATAGTTAATGAGAGTTTTGACTTTTTACCAGGAAAGAGGAGCAGAACGTGCCATCTGCTATATCCCTGACAACCAATTCCACCTACTACAGCACATCTGCGCCCAAGGCAGAGTTACTGATTAAAATGAAGGACATGCAGGAGCAGCAGCAGCAGCAGCAGCAGAGTGAAGATGATTCTGAAGATGAGCTGGATCATGACTTGTCAGAAAAGAAGGTAACAGACTTTTCTGAGTGGGTAACAGGATGCTCCAAGTGGCGTGTGTTTCGGTAACTGTGACTTTGCTAGCCAAAGGTCCCCAAATAAAAGGCATCCTAGATAGTGACATCCAGGATCACCGGGAAGATCAGCCTGTGTGTGTGGTTTTGCAGGTTTAAGGTTTGGAGGAAGGGGATTGTTGCTTTTTGTTTGCTTGGTTTTGTCTTAATTCTGTTTTGGTTTGCTTTCTGAGCATTCAGCTATGAATTTAGGGACTTCAGTTTAGATGCTTTTTGTGGCTTGACACTCAGTTTTGGGAAGGAGTAGGGAGTCATTTCGAGGTTTTATTTCAAAATAAAACCTTTGTTTATTTATTTATTTATTTATTTTTATTTCACAATAAACCTTTATTTCAAAATAAAACCTTCTTGATCTGAGAGGCTTTATGTGTTTCTCTCACTTGCTATGTACAAAGCAGCTACTAGCGCTTTCATATCCCACTCTTAACAGATGGCATTTTTAGTTGCTCCATATTTTTGAAATTTAGGTCATGGATTTGCGTTTGTGGTGGTGGAGATTCCCTTTTTTTTTCTTTTTTCTTTTTTTCTTTTTTTCTTTTTTTTCTTTTTTCTTTAATTTTTTAAACTACTTTCTTGAGCAACAAACTGCTTTCCTTTCTACTCCTCTCCCTCCCAAAGTAATCTAAGCAGTGATGGCACGGGCTAGCTAATCAGCTTGGTGGAGGCAGTGCAAGTTGTGCACGAGGAGAGAGGCTSCTTCTCTACTCCAGTTCATCCGTATCCTCACCACCATCCTTTGGTGCTTTATTTATGAGCTAAGGTCAACATAACACCCCAGGACTGAAACTAAAGATGATGGYGACGTTTTTGTGATTTGAGAAATCGCTGGCGCTCCATTAAGATCATCACACTCACCTGATTAGTGATTTAAAACAAGGTATTTGAATTGAGTGCTGATAAACGGAAGGAAATGGTCTTTTGTTCAATTGAAGTGCTGTTCAGTGAAGCAAGTAGCACAATGCTGAGCAAATCTTTTGCATTGATGTTAACTCTGCTTAATGGTCCACCACCAGTTTGACCCTGTCTCCCAGAAACTCTTTCATTTGTCTGTTAGGAATATATTTAGTCTTAGGAGTGAGAGATTCCGTAAGAGATTTCTGCTGGTGTTTGGAATACAAGAGTGGGTACCTCTGAATTTGAGGAGGCTGTAGTGCTTTCTATTCCTTCTTTTTTTATATTTTCTTGTTCCCTCCTACCCCTCTGTTCACCATGTTGCACAGTACACACACTGACAGCTGCACCCCTTAGACAAATGAAGGATTTCACKGCATTTGGAATCATTTGTTTTTAGCTGGTTCCACATATGAGAGTCACACTCATCATTTCTTTCCATTACTTTCCATTGCTTTCCATTATCAATTACTTTCCATCTTGTGATGGAGATGATGGAGAGAGTAGGGAGAGAGGCACAGTTTGAAATCTTCTTCTTTGCGCAACAGACTCAAACTTTTCTAAGCCAAAGTGCCATTTTTTGTGGGGGTGTCTGTAGGGACMCAAAGCATATTCCCCTTGACAAGCTCCCTCTCCCTGTCTCCGTTCCCCTGCTCGACCACTAACCAAGGCAAAGGAGCAACATTTCATGCGGAGCTTTCAGCGGCGCCTCCCCGGCTTCTCTGCCCGCTCCTCCCGTGCAGTCAAACGTGAGCGCTCACGTCAGGGSCCTCTCGTCGTGCATCTTCTCGGAACACGTGGGCAGCTGGCACCAAGTGGGTCACAGGATCCTCCTAAAGCACTCGGGATACATGACTTGGCTCTGCCTCACCTGTTTTGGCTGCAGTTTCAGAGAGAAGCGCTAAGGGCCTGGACACTCCAATAACACAGTTTGTGTTGGTTTTTGTTTTTTTTTTTTTGGTAAGAGACATATGCCCAGAACCTGTTCCTTGATTCCTGGAAGTCGGTCAGTTCTGTTATGAGATATCTTAATTTCAGTCCACTGTGGAATGATTGTAATACTTGTTTTTCTAGGCTTTGCAAACCAGGAATTTGTTGTGTGGTGGGTTCTCTCTTTCTCCCTCCCTCTTTCTCCCTCCCTCTTTCTCCCTCCCTCTTTCTCCCTCCCTCTCTTTTCCCTCCTTCTAGCAGCTAAAAAGTGATGAGACTCATTTGAAATAAGCGTAGGAATTTCATATAGATGCACTTCAGAAAATCCATTTTAAATTATTTGGGACAATCGCCGTATTCCCAGCAGGAATGCGTTTTAAGTATTGAGTTTCAAGCAGGTTTACCGTAATGGTAAAATGGCTGGATTTCAACAAATGCTGATGGCACTACAAAAATGTAGGAGCCAGCTGGGCTTCCTCCTGGGAATACTTGCSGATGCGACTAGCAGCGCKSSMGCGCTGCTAGTCGCATCSGCAAGTATTCCCAGGAGGAAGCCCAGCTTTTCTATTGTCTTGTTTACTAGTGGAGAATTCACAGCTATAAGCTCCTCTCCCGGCCATTTCCAGCTGCTCAGTGCCGGTCCGTGGGCCCCGCGGATGCCCAACGCAACGGGGGTTTCCTGCTGGTTGACACAACCGGCCAGCAGCTCCACACTGGACAGTCCCAAAGGCTGCTGCCTCTAGGTGSGGAGCAGTCGGGGATCCCTATAGGATTCTTACTGCCTGCGTTAAGGATTGCAGGATGGCTGCTGGCCCTCTTAGCTTTACGAGTAGTCCCTTTCAGACCCCGCTTAGGCCTCTAAGCAGGGTGCTCCCGAGGAGACTCCTGTCTTTACAAAGCAAAATAGATGAGCTTTTCCCTGGCTATAGGCAAGAAAGCTGGGCTGGACTGCGAGTCCGTATTGGTAAGTCCCGAGCAACAGGCTTTTGTTTTGGGGTTTCTTTTTAGCAAGTCACAGCAGGGCCGGGGAAGGGGAACGTGGAGCAGCAGCCGGGCGCAGCACCGAGGCGGGCGGCAGCGCTCTGACCTACATAGCCCAAACCCGGCTCCGCGTTTCCCCCCGGAGAGCGGGGGGAAAAGTCAAATCCTGCAGATTAATCAGCCAGGAAAGCGGGCGTCTGTCAAACTGCTTACTGCTGTAATCTTGCGGGCACCCCCACTAACAGACAGCTCGAATCCAGATTAACCTGGCCCCAGTATATTAAATCCAAAAGAAGGGAACCAGCCCAGATAATGCATGTGTTGGAGTTTCGACTTTCAAAAAGGCTGTTAAATTCTCAGGGAGTAGTTAGTTGCTTTTTGCTAAAACAGCAGATTTCTGTTTGTTCCCCCCTAAAATTGGCAATGACCGTACAGTAGCCTCTGGGAGCAGAGTGTGTAAGAATCAGTAATCATGGAGTAGGTTTGCATTTGGAAAGCACAGGTCCCAAAGAATGTCATGAATAAATAAATAAATAAAAAGAGGTACTGTGAAATAATGACTGCTTTTTCCTATGCAGTTTTCATTCAGAAATTGCAATAGCAGACACATGTTTAGAGAACACTTAGGGAATTAATCTCACCTGAAATTAGTTGAATACCAAGTAGACATCTGCATTTAAATGAACATTGCATTTTTAGAGTGTGATTCCTGCTACATCGGGAAGTTGGAATAAGCTGTAGGTCTTATGCTTTTCCTAGGCCAAGTTTGGTGCGTCCAAAGCAGTCGGGGACTATAGTGGAGACAGGCTGCAAGGGAGATGCTGTTTGCCTGGCACAGGAGCRGGCCAGGGGGCTGCYTTGCTCCTTCCTCAGAGCCTCTTCRGATTCCCTGAGAGAGGAAGGACTGTTTCAGGGGGAGGTTAATGTTGCACAGAAAAGAAGAAAGTGCCAAAGAGTGTCCCCGTGTTCAAGTGTGACATGTGGAAAGTACAGGGTTGTTTTCCTGGTGCTGTTTGTCTTTGTGGAGCGTGGCTGGTGGTCCTGAGAGGCAGGAGGATGCACAGGGCGCCCTGTGCTGCTCCTCAGCAGGCTTTGAAGCTCTTCAAAGCAGCAGCAGCAGTGCTCATAGTAAAGGAAGTGCTTCAGCTTTTGCCTCCAAGGTGAATTGCTCAAACACCGGTGACTCAAGCTGAGCATCATAAACCTATGTTCTGATTCCTTGAATCAAGCCACATTATAGTTACTTTAGRAATGTATGTATTTGTAATATACTCATTTTCAAAGCTATGTGAAATTTCAGGATGACTTTCAGAAGTAGAAATGGAAAAAATGTGGAAGTGCTAATAAATTCTCATCCCTTTTGTTTTCCACAGCAAGAACTCATTGACAGCATCAGTAGGAAGCTGCAGGTGCTGAGGGAAGCACGAGAGACACTTCTGGAAGATATCCAAGCAAACAACATCCTGGGGGAGGAGGTAGAGGCCATTGTGAAAGAAGTTTGCAAACCAAACGAGTTCGACAAATTCAAGATGTTTATCGGGGACCTGGACAAAGTGGTCAACCTGCTGCTGTCCCTGTCGGGTCGTCTGGCACGGGTGGAAAATGCCCTCAATAACTTGGATGAAAATACCTCTCCTGAAGAACGGGTGAGAAGGTCCAGCCGTGCTGTCACCGCATTTAGTGAATGTGCTTTAGAGGGGTTGTTAGCTTGGCTTTGCTTATCTAAAATCCAGATTTAAGGTGGTGGAAAGTGATAAATTTAATAAGATTGTTTTCTTTACATTCCTGTAGATTTTTCACTTGGCCTTTAATTCTTCAGCGATGGGTGCATTGGTCAAAAAACGTTATGTTTTTAGGGTACAGCAGTTGCTGGAGATGTAACGTATTGGAGAACAGGCTTCTTGAAGAAAGCTGGAGGAAAAAWGGGAGCTACTGATAGGAGCTTAACAAAGGAGGTGAACACTTCAAATTATTCAAAAGATAGGAAAGGAACAAGCAGGTGTCACCTTGTGCTATAATGCAGAAAAAATACAGATTTCTTGATAATCAAAAAAGATCTTGTTTCTTACCTACTTACGTGTACATATATTTACATGTACATATATATAAAAAAGTGATATTTTTGCTTGTAGCACATACAGACTAGAGCTTCCATTACAATGCCAAGCAAGAAAAAAGATTAAGAAGTGGCAGAAGGACAACCTTAGGAAAAGGTGATGGGTTGGTTTGTTTTTAGGCTGAAAACATCCTTTCTATCATCCAACCAAAGCAGACTGGGAAAGACAGAGGAATTGCAGCAGTTGTGGGAGTGTGAGGAGTGGTCTAAACACTCCTGGCCACTGGTCCGTGGGAGACTGGCAGCACTTTGTTGAGTTCCATATCCCAGCAGATGTTAGCTGGGGTATGAGGTGTCTAGCGCTACAGGTATGCAGCACGGGGGAATTGTAGGTACATRGAAACTAAGAAGTTTCTGAAAGGGTGTGGGGGGATGTGTCATGGGAGTTCAGCCTCTGCTCTTAAATGGATACTGAGTCAAATGCCGAGTCAAGCGCTGAGTCAAGCGCGGCAGAATTGGGTCCACGAGCAGTTATTTTAGGTTTTGTTTCCTCTATGGGCTGGGGGAAGAGCTGCCAGCAGGTGTTAGGATAATATAGGAACTGCTGGGGAACCGTGTTCAAAGCAGCTTGCTCATCTAGGTGTGGGAAAGGAGGAAGGTGAGCTGCAACCTTTCCAAAGTTAGACTGACAGAAATGCGAATGCCTGACACAGTCCACCCCTCGCTTTGTACTCCGCTGTACTGAGTCCACAGTCTTGCAAGAGCAACATCAGAAATAAGTTCGTCTGTAAGKAAGTGTGGCCCAGAGATACTTCTCAGGCAGATCAAGTGTCCAAGAAGATCCGTTATGAATACACTGTATGTGGCGTTACACGTGTATGTCTCTGGACTTAGGCTGGTGTATGTGGCCCTTTTGGATTCTCCTTTGGTATTTTGTGGATCAGATGATGGTATTTGGCTCRTTAATGAACAAAATACAGGCAAATTTACTGCCATCCCTGATCATCACATCTTTAATGTTCACAGATTGTTTTGAAGCTGTCTGAGGAACATTAYTGATGGTCCTAAACCTTCCAGGAACCCCAAACAGCTTGGCAGATACTGTGAATAAAACAGTCTGGCAGCAGACAAACGATTCCTGCTGAATGAATATTTCAAGTGTTAGATTTCTGTTGCCACAGGGAACAATATCAACTATCTGGACTTTTTGGAGCTGAAAAGGAGCTAATCTGAAATAGCTGCCAGACACCTCCCTTCCATATAGACCAGTGTCTTCCCATTACCTTTGTTATCAAACAAAACCAAATATGTTCAGGTCCCTGAAGTGCTGAGCCAGCCGTCCACAGATTAAATGAGATGCCTCAGCCCTCCAGGCCTGTTATCTTGGCCCTCCAGGCCTGTCATTGCAAGGCTAGGGGTAAATGCCAGGGCTGGCTTTAGGTAGCAGACGAGGAGCTGGATGCTGGGAAGTCAAATATATATAGAGAGAGGGAGTCCCTCTCCATATGGCTCTGGTTCAAAATATCAAGCAAATCTTGAGGAGAATATCTTCCTTGGATTTGGTTGGGTGAAGCATGAGGACAGCAGCCTCCCGACCACCTGGGATCGGGGTCCGCCAGGGCCAGGGCCGGGTGAGCCGTGTGCCGGTTCCTCAGGAAGCCTCCCCAGGAATGCCCTCTTGAGCACGCAGCAGTTCATTTCGGCCTTCCAAACCAGTTTTCCAATGTCAGTCATCTTTGCCAGAAGTAAAAGCAAGTCCAAGGGGATCCCCTTGGCCTCCTGCCCTTCTGCATCCTGCTTYTCTAAGATATCCCTTCTAAATCTTCCCAAGGGTTCTGATGTTAAGGCCTCAAGCAGAGAGAAAAGAAATTGGGATTTGCTTTCTTTAAACTGTCAGGGCATCCTCATCATCTGAAAGTCATGCTGTCGGCACGGTAAGAAAAAATTACACAACTCAAGTCTTGGGAATTGCTGGAAAGGGTGAAACATTTGCTTGTCCCTGTGTCTATGGGCAGTGATAGAGGGTTGCTCGATTAGGTGCATAGTGTAGGCAGCTGTGGGGCTCGTTAGTTGGCACGTGCCCCCTTGTGTTCATCAAATTTGTTCTGTTTTATGTATCTTAGTGTATGTACATAGATACAAGTTGCAAAGTTACCCTGAAGAGCAGTCTAGATAGGACTGTTGGCTTGGGCTTGTCTGGAAGTGTTGCTCTCTCCAGGCCATGTGCTCTCTACTGAAGGGGAGGCACGAGGGGTGCAGGTGCTGCTCTGGTAAATCTGTTAGAGCCTCCTGGTGGGCATCCCTCCTTGTCTCCTCTCCTAAAGCACTGCAGTTTCACCAGGCTACAGAACCATCTCCCTTCAAATCCGTTAGGCTCCTTGTAGCATTCAAAATATGAAATGGATTTAAAATATGGAGTAAAACTGGAAAAGTGGGCAAATTTCCTTAAGCAGCTTCCCAGGAACAGACTGCAGCATATTTGAAGACAAAGGTTCTCAGAAGAGAATCTATCTGTGAAATAAAGATAAAAATCATAGAGATAAAAATCATCTTGGAGATGCTTTCTGATGAAATGTAGCCGCCTGCACTGGAGTTGTTAACATCAGAGAAGGTCAGCTGTGCTCGTTGTCACGGGAAAAACAGGGCAGTTTCCTGTAGGTAGATATCTGAGGTTGGTCAGATAAATAACGCTCACCTTTCTTTCCATATGTAGCTGAGATATGGTGGTTATTGTGAGCAAAAGGTAGAAATRTTATTGCCCTGTTGTGAAGATGATGCACTTTTTATTTTTTTTCTTTCCTCCTGTTGCCTTACGCCAGTCCTCACTTTTGCTCATTTTTAAGACCACTTGTTTTCCCAAAGAAACGGAGCAAATTAACAGCAGAACTGCAAAATACTGCAGTGCCATGAGCTGTGGAAGGACAATCACCCCAATATTTAGAGTGTTACTGTGCTTTCAATAGCAGTAGCTGTCTGAGTGTGAATGCTTGCTGGTATTGAAGATGAGATTAGTGAAATCTTGTTTCAAAGAACTGTAATAAAGTATTGTTTGAAGCTCTTGCTACTAAGTCAGCTAGAAACSATTGCTGCATCTTTCATCGACTCAGTATTTTTTATGCCTGTTAGTCCTTTTTATTTAGAATTCATTTTAAGGAGCAGTCTTGTCTCAGGAAAATCTTGGTCCTCGCAGATAGGAAAGACTTGAAACTTAAACACTGAAGCTGTTGTCCTTCACCTGGTGAACCTAGTGCCTTCTTTAACTGTTCCTCTTTTCTCCTAAGCGGACCCTGGTGGAGAAGCAGAAGCTGCTGACACAACAGCATGAAGATGCAAAAGAACTGAAGGAAAACCTGGATCGTCGGGAGCGCATCGTCTTTGACATTTTGGCCAATTACCTGAGTGAGGAGAACTTGGCAGACTACGAGCACTTTGTGAAGATGAAGTCGGCCCTCATCATTGAGCAGCGAGAGCTGGAGGACAAGATCAAGCTGGGCGAGGAGCAGCTCAAGTGTCTGACCGACAGCCTCCAACCCGAGCGGCTCAAATAGGGCACGGGCTTGGGGCAAGGACATGGGAAAGGGGAAAGGAGAGAGAGGGGGGAGATTCCCAAGTATGCAGATGAGTGTCTTGGCTTGTCTCCATGGCTCAGTACAAGCGTAGAAGAGAAAAATAGCTCACCACAGCAATAATGCTCTCTTTCATTTTTGGGATGACGTATTTAATTTTTTTAGAACCTGTTTTTATTGCTGTATTCCACAGCCATTCCTCATTGCTTCACTTACAGAAAGCTCCACAGGAGAGGCTTGACTCTTACCCTTTCTGCTCAGTCCACTGGGAGTCTGTGGCAGTGGTGCATGCAAGCAGCAGTGTTTCTTAGAATAAGATAGGTGATTTCTTTATCCTCAGATGTTGTATAGACTGTTGGGAAACTCAACAGCAAATTATGAATGCACACAAATTATTCATAACCTCCACAGGTAGTAACCTTTTTTTTTTAAAAAAAAAAAGACACATTAAATAGGGGAACCGTGCATCTTATAACTAATATATTCAGATTGCTGAAATGTAGTGTCACTCTGATCCTGTGGCATCAGACACTTTTTTTTGTAATGTTGTATATAAGATGGCACACCTTCCCCTTGCAGAAAATAACTTTTAAATCAGTCCCAGTTAAACAMTCTTTAAACTGACTTGCAAATCACCTAATGTCTACAGTGCTGAAGATTTTAAAAACAATATAAGAGAAAGAGAGTGAGTTGTAGGTCTTCTTATTGTAATACAGTTTTTCTTACCAAGTTGTACTTGATTTAAGAAACAGGCTGGAAGAACTGTGCTGGTTTCGTTCAAAACATTTCTCATCTAAGTTATTTGGAAAATGCAATTGCTCTTTCTTGTGCTTGTTGTGTCTGTTTTAATTCTCCCTCCAAAAAGATGCTACATTTTATGAAAGTAAATGTCAGGTAAGGACACTGCTTGTGCTTTACTTCTGATCGCTTACAATTATGCTGGTTTTATATAGGTAGTTAAATTATTATTGGGGTTGACCCACATAACGCTGTCCCTTTCATGTGCTTTCTGAGAGCACCAAATGCAACGTGAGCAGCTTGGCCCKTGTAAATACCACGCGTGACCCGGAGCAGGTCTGCCTTGCAGCTGTGGACGTCCGTGGGGTTTGAGGTTGTTTGGTTTTTATCACGCAACAGTAAGTGGCAGGATGCTCCTTCTCTGTGTCCGAGTGCTGATGGTGCTCCAGTAATACCGCCACCCAACAGGAGTGGTAATTCCTGGCACCACTAAGAGGAGGTGCTAACACGTGGCCTAGCACAGTGGCACGTTAGGCTGGCTTGCTCTGAGAGCTACAGAGAAGTTCTGTAGTGTCCGAATGTCATCCTCGGTGTTAGGATGAGCGGGGTGGTCAAAGGGARGTCTTGGATGACTTTGTGTATAGGGCGTTTACGTGGTAGGAAGGACCATTTATTTCTCCTTTCACTGACCAAACAGGTGGSCCAACGGGAAGCCGTTTTTGAGGCAGACGTGAGTGCCGCTCTGTAGCTAAACATACTGAAAATACAAGTAGTCAGATGTTAAAAGGAGAGAGAGAGAGAAGAATTCCTCATGCCATCCGTGTAATGGCAGCTCTCACAGAGGGTTTTCTGCTCTTCTCGCCTGCCTCATCTCCTCTGGGGGCAGGGAGGCCGAGGGGCCCTGCTCAGCGAGCCCCTTCGGCAAGCTGCGGCTCGCTCCAGACATCCTCGGCAGCCAATTGCACCCAGGTGCAAAAGTTAAAAGGATGCTTCTCCCCTGCTATAATGCACTAATTTGTATCCGTGGACCAAATCTGTGCTGAAATTATGCTGATSTAGAGCAGCTGAAGTCAAGCGGAGCTGCCGTTTTGTGGGAGCTGCCGCYGACCTCAGTTTTTCCCTCCTGGTTCCCAAATGTAGACATCTGGCATCTCACAACTATTTGCTGCTATGTTCCCAGTTCAAGTGATCCCTTTTATCCTTAGGCTCATCCCTTAAGTGTAACAGACCCAAAACTAAGTAACTCCCAAATAAATTATGCTTGTCTTTAGCTGAAAGAAAAAAGAGTGCATTGTTTTATCTGTGGCATTTTTGAAAATTTTACATATTGTGGTTATTCTGAAATGTGTATGTGAAATGTGAATAATAATATAATTGCAATGTGTTTGTATACAGTGCTTTGATTTAGATCTTTCTGATAAAAGATAGCAATATTGCGAATGCTAAATATATATAAATATATTATCCTTTTCACAGAACAGTTGCATAGTCACCGTTTTCTCCTTCCCTTTTTTAAAACTGTGTTCAGAGCCTGTCATCCTGGGAACCCGAAGATGGCTGTCTCCCAATGTTATATATAAATCTGTAAATAGCTATACTGTTGCTTTTGGAAAAAATCTGGTGCTAATGTTTTGCCTTTGGCATCTTTGGGGATGGCTGTCTCTCCACCTTACGTTGTTCTCGGTTTTCAGTCTCTTTGTATRGTCAAATATTTCCACTATGTTTCCCCACTCGTTTGGATTCTSCAGCCCAGAGTGAACATGTGTACAGTTTTCCTGCTCGACGCTTGCCACCTACCTACTGACAAATGGTATTGCTTGACTTTGAGAAAATAAACTGTATATTTCAATGTACAGAGCTAGTGTATGCGTGGAGTTATCCGTGTCAAGGCCTGCTGTTCTGCTGTGTGGTGTTAGCTGTCCTGGGGTGGGTAAAGAGAGTGCCTATAGCTTCTAGAGGCCAAGCCAGCTGGGCTGCCACCTCCTCACAGATTATTTAACCCGGGGATGAACTGATTGCCTTCCAAGTCCRCCGTGCAAGTTCCAGGCATGTGTTAATGTCTACTTTTTATTTATTTGTTTATTGACAGAGTGTACTGTAACAGGATGGAAAGGAAGGACAGTTGGGAGGGGGATAAAACTGATCAGTCTCTTTTGTCGCCTATGGAGTATGTACCAGGGAAGGAACTGCGGTTTTTCTGCTTGGGGTAACTGTGTGGTTTGAGCTTGGTCTGTCAGAAGGTAATTCATATGGAAGTGCTTCAAGGCAGGGGTATTCACTGGAGTTTTGTTTTTGAAAGAAAAAGCAACAACAGAAGCAGATCCCTGTGAGACCTTCACTTCTAGCAGACTTCTGTAAACTCTTGAATTTGCACTTAATGGAGGTTCTCGGATTTACTGCAGAATATTTTGCTRTATCAGGAACCTGCCAAACATGCCCAAATTTATAGTAGACATGACCACAGATAACCTATTGTGGCTTGAAAAATCATACAGAAAATCAGTTCATTTCTATATAGGACTTCATTCCTATATAGGAAAAAGAAGCTAGGAAAACAATATCTTTAGTTTCAATATTTACTTTTTAAAAAAAATTTTTTTAGTGATGGATTATACTCGCTTTCTTCTCTGCTATTCCATATGCCTCTCAGTGCCTGCTGTTCCGCACACTTAGTTTGAAGCAGAGTGGCCACCAATARGGAATATCTTCTTATGTGCTGTTTGAAAAATTTGCTTTTCTTCAACTCTTAAATGTTTTTCCTCTGTTTTGGAGTATTCAGGTACCTCAGATTTTCAAAGGAGTCACCTTATACTTTCGCACTGTGTCTCTTCCCAATGAATATCTATTGATGAATGCTTGTGTGCTTTACAGTTGAAGTAATCCGATGGCAATCCACTCCCTAGCAGGACCTCCTGATGGCTCTGCAGGAAAATGCTGCCTCCTGTTTGGTGATGATGATAATTATTACAGAAGTTCATGAGCTTGCCACAGTTAAAAGCATCTCAGCTACTTCTGTAGACAGTTTTTCTACAAACTAAGGCACACAGTGGGTGCTATGCTGTTATTAAAAAAAAATACAGCAATATCAACTTCAGCAACTACAATGTCACTTAAGCAACTACAATGACCCACAAAATATAAAACGAGTTACCCATGCTCTGTGGTTTAGAAGCTTGCCCTGCATTTCATTCTCCCTAGCTACTCTTCGGATAAAGCTCCTGCAGATAACATTATTGCATTTGAAGTAGCTTAGCCTCGTTGTGGCTTAGTGCATCTTGGAACAAAGTCCAAATCAACTCAAACTCAGTGTAGTTCGAGAAGCGTAAGGCATTTTGCTCGCAAAGCACAACAGTGGTCTAAAAATCTACACACGGAGTAGGTAATACTCTTTTTAAATTGTCTAACTTCAGGACATCATTCCCATTTACAGTCATTTTGGCAAGCGCTCTACGAGCCCATGGCCAAAGCAGTTGTGTTTTTCCAGGGAAAAAGGCTAATAAAATGCATTAATTGTCCTATGTTAAAAATTCTCCAAGTCCCCACACTTGTTTTGTTTTTAGGATCTTAGATGTCCCTCTGTCTTGGAGGCTGGTTGGCTCTGTGTCTTGGATGTACTTTCTGCTAATGCCAGGAGTTACAGGTTAATGGATCGCTTATCATTAGTGAACAAGCAGATTTCTATCGTGGATCCCTATCTCTGGAACTATTTTTATTTGCTCTTCATAATTGTCTGCCTTGAACACGGGGAAATGTTTAATCAAAGCACGTGCATTTGTGATGGTGGAGCCAAAGGTGCTGAGCAAGACGTTGAAGGGTACAGAAGAGCAGCTATATTAAATATATTTGCATCTTGTAAGAAACTCTTKAAGAGATCCCTGAATTCTAGATATGACTATGTATGGAAAGGAAGGACTTGTTTGAGCATGTTGGGGTGATGCCAACTAGACCTCACTAATTCCAAGCAATCACTGGAAGAAGAACCAGCTTTAGCTCAGAAAACCCCATGGTCTGACATACCTAAGTGAGAGGTTTTAGTTTGCTGTTGCTGTTTGTGTTAGCATCGGTTTCTAGCATTCTGGTGGAGAAATAGTCTATAAACTGGAAAACAATATATAGCTGTTAAGTTTGCTAAATATTGTTTTAGAAAAGCTGAAAAATCTAAAAGTTTATTAGGAATTGACAAAGTCTTCCTGACAAAGATTTTGTCTCAAGTGTGGATATTTCACTATCCAACTAACTTCAGATTCTTTCTTTTTTTAAGTGAAGCTCGTGTCTTGACCTGACAGCCTCGGAGAAATACAAGTACAATGAGCAACTGCAGAATAAATAAAACACAATGGAAGATAATGTTATCTCTGGATCTAAGTATCCAAGCATGATTCTGCACGTAACATTCATAGGCACTCCCAAGAGTTACAGCTTCAGCAGCCTTCACACTCGGCTGTGGCTCCTTCAAAGATAAAAGGGGAAATCAAGGAAGTTGAGCTATGATGATCAAGGAGGCTAAACTAGGTCTGAAAGGGCTGGAGTGGGTCTCTCTTTTCTTCTCCTTTTTTTTTTTCTCTTTTTTTTCTTTCTTTTTTTTCTCTTTTTTTTTTTTTACATCAGTGAAACCAATCTCAAGGAAGTGGAAAGCTAAGAAAAGCTGAAATGATCTTTACCCAGCTGGAAATAAAACCAAACGGGCAATAAAGTGCAACAGGGCTGTTAATTTCCTGCTTTGCTCTTTCGCAATATGTGAAACCATAACTGTTTTTGTCTGGTGGGGCAGGCATTTCTTATTGCTGCGATGCAATAAAACACTGAAGAACCTCTGAAATTCAAGTTTTACGGAAAATTCTTAGAGGAAGAAGTGTCTTAGAGACACTTAGAAGTGTCTCGGGGCATGCTGTGTCAGAAAGGAGTCCATTGAACCACTGAATATTTGGTGACATCGCTTTTTGCCTCGCAAGACAGTTGCACTCTCTCACTAAAGACTGCTTGACATTCAAGAAGAAACTGTCTATCTCTAGGGTAGGCTACTGRGATCAGCCCAGTTTGCTAGGATGCATTCAGATGCTTAGGTTTTGTCGGCTCAGTAATAGGGGTGGAATCTCTAGGGGCTTTACTTCCACTGTTGCCACCTCCAARGAGTTTGTTTTACCACTGGACTTCTGGCCTAAGAGCAGAGCAATATCCAACAGCCTTTGGAGCTGGGTCATTGTGTGCTCCCAAGAAAGCAAGACCAAAAAACGCAGCAGTAAAGCAGACCTAAATGCTCAGCCCAGGAGCCTGGGCATCAGCAGGGTGTGGAGGAGACTGAGTTTCTTTTTCTTTGGACTACTTACGTGTTTAAGGTTAGATCATGAGTGAAACTAAAAGCTAGAATAGTCTAGGGAGGAGAGCTCCTACCTCTGTCCTATTTGGCTTAGCCCTCCTCCGAATGCAGTCTGTAACACCAGGCTCTGAATCCAGTTTCAGRTCGTAGGTAACTGCAGCATTAAGGACTGTGCCAAAGGTTGTTGGGAGTGCAGATGCAAATGCATCCTCCTGTTGTTGTTTTTTAGTTTAATTTAGTTTAGTTTAGTTTAGTTTTTCTAAAGTGCCTCGATGAATACACTGGAAGTAGCATATTACTGCTTTCTCTTCAGCRTATATGGACCTTTAAACCTGGATCGTGATTTAAGTACACAGCTGATGACCTGAAGTAGGAACCTAAGCAGCTGTAGTTGTCTCTGTAGGTAAACTGGGATAAACTTACCTGAAGGTGCTACCTATCCTTTTGCCCCATTCTCATCTCTTTTTTCCAGGAAGGCACTTGAATGGCTTTGAAAACAAAGTGGGWTAAGCAAAGCTCTTCAGTGCTTCACTAAACACTACATATTCTCACCCCAGAGCTAAACACCCCGATGGTGTGATGCACAGTACTCATTGTAGGTCTTTTCATTTTTCCAAATATCTGCACCTATTGAATTCCTTTAATCAGGATTCAGTGAATGTCTCTGGATTTTGAAATCTAGGAAGTCTTGTGAGAATGCTGAGTTACTCTGATCTCCAAATGTTCTGTGGATTTACATGTATTTATAGTTTGAGAAGAGGAGAATATGCTGCTTTTATAGCAATGGAGGAAAAAATACACAACTGATTACGTATAATTCTGGTCCTACCAGTTTGGCAGAGGAGGAGTTACTTAAACTGGGGTTTTTATGCAGTGGGCAGTCCCACCATGCAGTCCCAGTGAAAGTGCAGTGCGAAGGTCAGATTGTAAGCCTATGGAAATCAGGAAATTCAGACTGAAAGATTTATGATCACCATAAATCCATCCTTCATGTTTGAACTTCTCCTTCATATAGTCAGGTACCAAAGCGGTAAATATTTATGTTGCCAATGATTTTATAACCAGAATCTTAAAAGAGCAGAGACACTAGGCTTTTGTAAAGTAGCAGGCAAGAAAAACACACAGATGCGTGTTTGTGTTTGCAAGCTCCTGGGTTTCAAAATAAGGCTTGGGCTCTCCAGCCAGCTTTTCCAACATGGAAGATCCTCTTTCTTCCATTACAATGTTCTCAACATATGGAGCTACAGTCCAGGGTTTGCTGCAAAACTCTTCTCCTAGTATAAGATTAGTTGCTAAGTTCATCTTTATTTTCCACACTCTCACATTTTCTGGAAAAAAAAAAAAAAAAAGAGATGTGTTGCATACTAGTGAGCCWCCTACATCAGGTCCTCCCAGATGGCTGGGCACCTTTTTGAAGCTCCTTCTGGTGCTCCTTCAGTTGAAGGATTGATGG